AATTTTAGCTTATGAAAAAATTTGGTGTATAAAAGATGCTTATTCAGTTTCAAAATATGATTTAATATTTATTACAAACTTTAAAAAAAAAGAATATAGAATAGAGCTTCATACATAATTAATTTATGAAATTTATTTAACTAGCAAATACCTATGTTTGAGAATACTTCGAAAACATTTTTGTAATTCGTGAGCAGTTATAAACCCCTGAATCCCTCAAATTCAGTAATCCCTGAATAAATAAAATCAAACTTATTTTTACTCAGGACCCAACTTGGTCAGATATCAGAAAATTAAGGTGTGAAAATATTAATTAAAATAAGATAAAAATTAAGTTAAGATGAGATAAGATTAAAAAAATACTTTTGTTCTTTTAAACTCCAGGCAAAAATTTTTTTTTGATTTATTATTTATGTACATAAGCATTACGTTTAATATGCAGGGTTTGAAATTAATAGGAGTCCATTGGGCTACTAGAATTTGACTTAAAATAAAAATGCACTTTTGGTTTTTTGATTATGATTTCATGTTTTTGTCACAAAATATCATAATTCAACCTGATTTTGAACATTACACACTCTATATTTGTATATAATTTTGGTTTAACTTCTAACTGGTTTTAGTTAACTTAATATTTTTTTTTTTTTTTCCACAATTGAGACCTATAAAATGTTAAGGATTAGTAATGTCTTTTAGTTTTTGGTTCTGTAAACCAGTGACTAAATATTTTGAAATAAAAAGCGCTTGGTAAGTTTTTACGTGGTGTGAAACTTTTTTAAAAAGTGCTTGAAGGTGCTTATTTTCAATTTTTGTTTTTTAAAAGTCCTTAAAGGTGCTTTTTTTATTGGAGGTTTTTAAAAAGTGCTTAGTATTACCTTTTCGAAAAGTAGAATTTTTTTCTTTACCATGTCGATTTTCGCTACATATTATGCAAAAGCGTGGTTTTCACAATATTCTATTCAACGTTTTCACAATTAATTCAACCGCAATCCATTTCGGCATACTGCCGGTCCGTAGTGTATGTAGCATTTTAACGTCGGTCCAATAATTTTACATGTTCGATAAAATATTTGCGAGTTCGCATGTGCGTCTATTGAGTTGGGTTCGATGAGATTCTAGCACACTCATGTGCAACTCTGCTGCATTTTGCAAGATAATCTTAAATTCAGGCTTCATTTTCCACCCTCTGAAGTCCAACTGAAATATCTTTCCATCTTTTTATGTTAGCTAATATATTCAAGAAAAAATTCTTAGCCAGAAACGAGTTATTTTATCATGATCATGAAAATTATTTTGCATTTTGTTAATGTATATAGTGCTTAAAAATATTTTTGGGTGCTTAACCTTCCGTTAGTCGCGCGCACCTCACAGGTGCATCCCTACTGCACTTCCACCTCNGCTTAAAAAGTACTTAAAAGGTGCTTATTTTTCGTTGAAAGATTTGGCTACGCACCCTGTTTTAAGTAAACAAAACCAAATGTATATAAATAAAATATGTTTATTAAAAAAAACAAATTATTTACTGGCTAATTGAAAATCATTTTCATGTCACGTGTATCCACATTTAGCCTCTTTTCTTTATTTATTAGTATATTGAGAACATCTAAGAATAATTTACATACATTCTTCTCTCATTAATTTTTAATATAAAATCTTTAATAAAATTAAATTGTATTAAAAATAAAATTTATTAAAAATTAAAAAAGCATCTCTGTATTAATGAATTATATTGAAAAATATTTTTAACTGTTACAGGACCTAGCTTAGAAAATTGTCTGCAACTTTTTGTACATATATTTTATTCATATTTAAAGTAGTGCAGTGGTCAAATTAAAAGGCTTTGTTGGCCATTTTTGGTCCTCTAGTTATTTGGTTGTTTGGTTATCTAGTTGTTACTAAGGTCTAGTTATCTAGTTGTTTGGTGTCCTTGATTTAGTAAATGCTTCATACCTTTTAATACTAACATATGATCATAATATGAACATTAGAATAATATTGAAAGTTATTATGGTTGATTTTTGGTTTGCCAATTTAAGATATATTTTATAGCTTATACCATTCATTTACGAGTGACTGATGTTTGATATTATTTCTTTGCTGAAAGATGAAACGGGAATGAGAAGGCAGGTGTAGTGTTTCATCTTTGGTGCACTTGTACCAAATGACAATGAAAAGGATCATAACAAAAATAGCAAATAAACACCTGAAAGTAATATTCCCAAAAGAAATTTGACAATAAAATTAAAAGAATAAAATGTATAAATAAATGGAGGATTTTTCTGAAAAAATAAGAACTGAAAAAGGCAAATCAGATGCAAAAGATAGATAATAAAAGAAACGAAAAAATAAAGAATTAACAGCAAAAGAATACCAAGATAAATAAAGCTCAGAGCAGCAGTTGCAGAAATTCTAACCTTAATATAATTAATGCTTAATTTTCCAGGTCCCGCAGTGGACTGATCGTTAAGACACTGTTCCCAGCAGATCACTGAAGTCAAGCGTCACTGACTGCGGTCAGTGTGCGGGTGGGTGACCACTTGGATCAGTCTGCGTAGGGACCGAGGGTGTGCGGTATAGGTCCTCGTTAAACTATGTTAGCGTAAAGTGCTCGACTTCACGTGCAGGTCGTTGAGCTACCGAAACGGGGGTGCCATCCCCTCTGCAGAGGATCAAAATTGTGTCTTCGGATCATCCTCGGGGATGTTTCCCAGACCGTCGCCAATTACAAAGTCGAAAATTACTTTATATTGGGAAAATTCTTGAAAAAGATCTTTAGATTTCGAAAATTTCCTATTGTAGTTTTTCTTTCTTTATATTTTTTTAGAAACTTTCTGTTCTACATAGAATAAATTTAAATTTTCTCTATCCAAAATTATAAGTAAAAAAATATCTAGCAAACATTATTTCTTTTTATTCAAGCTTATTTAGTGGGTGTCTCAAACTGAGAACATTGCAGCTGATTTAATTTTGTAGTTGCTAATATTAAAATATATTTTAACTCAATTTTTCAAAAAGTTTTAAAATTCCCTGTATGTGGGTGTATTCCCTGTGTTCTTCATAATGTTAGCAAAATCCACTGAATTTTTTTCCATTTCTTGGCGACTATGATCACCTGAATCTTTGCTAATATTTTTTAGACTTCCTTCCTATCAAATGTTTCAGCTTAACAATAAGGTTGATAGTTTTAAAATAATGAAGTTTTGATAATTTAACCAGAACGCTTGTATTCATTCATGTGGCCACTATCTGTCTGGCTCCAACTTACTGTACATCCTTCATAGTTTTTCTAAGGGAAGTGTTTCCTTTTCTATATTTCTGCTTCACTACCTGTCTTTGACGAGAATTTTTTTTTCCTCTTCAGGGATGTGTATTTTCATCAAGTTTGGAAGAATTATTATTTTGGTAAAAAAATTTTTTTAAAATCATTTATTACAATAATGAAATTTGCTGTTTCCCATTTGAATTTTTCTATTAGAGTGGTGAAGTGTAAGCAAGTGGTTTTTTCAATAATGTTTAAAAGTGTTTATTTTTTTTATTTTATTAAGTAAGACATAGTTTTAAATGATTCCAAAAATTCGTGTCCAATCTGGATAAAATAAATTATAATAAATGCCTAAATTGAAGTGTTGTGCTTATAGTGAGATTGGAAAGCAATGTGGCCATTCAGCAATCACTTAAAATTTAGGGCGTTAAAACTCACGTGTTTTTCTGACCAGACATATTCTGCATTGCCAAAATTACTTGAGTGGAAAAAATAAAGAAATAAAGAGCATGTGGATGAAATTAAAATCGTCCAACAGTTCTCTGAAAAGAAAAAAAGAAAAGAAACTTACATTTTTGTTGTTGGAACGAAATTGTTAAGAGGATGATAACCATAGTAACTATAGAAAATTATTATGACTTATATTTTTTCAGAAACTGTTGTCTTTTATTTGACTCCGAATTAAGTTCGAACTTGTGCAATTCCCTGTTACTTCAATTAAGCTAATTTTTGATAAAAATTAATGTGTGCTAAAATCTTTTCTTATTTTTTTTGCTATAAAATATGATTTTAATTTTTTTGATATTTTTTTGGAATGATTTGTAGAAGTGTAAAAATGAATTTTTTTTATTATTATTTAGCATCAAACTGCTTGTACGTAATGTGCAATTTCTTTCTACTAAGCACATGTGATGTTTATTCTTCACAATTTTGGCTAATAAAAATCTAAGACTGATACATTTTCGATTTATACAATTCTAAGAATAATACATTTTTGAATTATACAAATTTAAGACTAATATATTCAGTAATACTTAATAAATAGTTAATATTTTTTTTTTTAAATTCATTATAAAACTAAACATTTTTACAAAAAAGAAAAAAAAACAGCAAAAACTGAATTACTACTTATGAAAGATACTTAATTATTTGAAGGGGGGAAACAATTCATTTTAAGCCTCATATTTTAGTTGAGTTCTATTTCCAAATTTAAAATCTTTCGAAAAATCTGATCTTATTTAATAACATAATATCTAAAAATGCAGCATTACAATGTATAATTGTTTAATCACCAATTTTATTTTTATCTCTTTTACAAAGAAACCAATTTAAAAGCATAATAAAAAAGAGTAATTTTTATATGCGCTAACTGTTTCTTTCTGAATTGTAGATTAATTATAAATTTAAATTCTTTCGGTAATTTGTTCTCTCTTCAATATGATTTAAGAGTGGTTAGAAACTTTTAATATTTATTGAATTAAATTAAAATTTCAAACATAGCACATATACTGCATAAAATGTGTTTTTTAAGCGAATAAAAAAATATGTAGAACTTTTATTATTTACTCTTCATGATAATAAGTTAGGGCCCTTTAATTAATACATTTCTCCTTATCGAAAATCATCATTTGTTAATACGCTCAGAAAATTCGACTTATCTTTTCTCCGACCTTGATTAAAAAGCACTAGCTTTGGCGACCGATTCGCCGGTTGTCGCCAAAAACTTCGTGGTCAAGTTGCAAAATGTGCTAGAAGTACTCACTTCGTAAAATGAACGATAGGCGGTTGTGTGAGGATCGTGCTTTATTGTTGACATCAGGAAGAAATTATTTTTAAGTGTTTTCTTTACTGGTTTGTTTTTATTATTCGTCTGCCAAATCTTTATGGTTCGACGACCTTCTGAAATTTTCTTCTGGAAATATAATTTGTGTTTTATTTGCATGTTTTAGACATGTTGTGAATATATGTTTACAAAAATCACGTGTTGATACGCGAGGTGAGTGCACAATTTTCATTGACATTTTAGCTTTTTTTTTTTCGTAATCATTTCTTGAAAACCCAAGTTTAATATCAATTCTTTGAAATCAGTATTTCTGTTAAGCAGCTGAAATGTTTGAATTAATCTAATTTCTCTGAAGAAATTTTTCTTAACTGCTTCATAACTTTCTGAAATATTTGTATGTTTTGGTTGAATGTTTTTTTTATTTGCTTGAAGATTTTGCATGTTTTAGAAATGTTGTGAACATATGTTTACAAAAAATCACGTGTTGAATCGTGAGGTGAAGGCACAATTTTCATTAACGTTTGTTGCTCTTTTTTTTTTAATCTCTTGAAAACCCAAGTTTAATGTAAATTCTTTGTAATCAGTATTTCCGTTAACCAGCTGAAATATTTGAATTAATCTAATAATTTGTCCGAAAAATTTTTCCTAACTGCTTTATGTCTTTCTGAAATCATCATTAATGTCGTTTTTGTCGATATTTTTGTTATAACTTTTTGCTTAAACTTATTTTAGCAGATAGTATTAAATAAAATTGTAAATCAGTTAAATGTAAGCCTTTTAATGTAAACGTAATTATATATAAATTGGAGAAATAATTATAATGGTGTAGTATAGTAATGTTATTTTTTAGCGAAATGAGCAAAATTTACCAATAGATTGTTATATTGTATTTAGTTCAACACTACAATGCTACATAAATGAAATCATATGGGTCTCTTTTTTAAAACTACTTTCTTTTCTTATTAATTTTGAAACAAAAAAAAAAAAAATTTGTTACTAAAATTTTTTATTTAAAATGATAGTTTGCTACTTATAAATGAGTAATATAAATTTCCTTAATTAGGGTTAAAAGCTTTTTGTAATAGAATAGGGTATTAATGAGGAAACATTATTTCGAACATTAGCTACACTCTTATGAGGTATTAAATGGTAAAGGCTTTTGAGGTAAGCTTATTTATTATAAGATATCTTTCTTATCTTATCCTATTTTGGATACAGTTTATAATTTTTGAATTTCTGATTATTGTGTTTCGAATAGAGAATTCATCGAATAGTGAATTTTACGGCACATACATATTTTTTATTTAGTTGTATAATCAAATGATTAAGTTATAAATCTCTATCATGAGATGGAATACATACATTAATACAAATCTGCGATTGAGTAATTTATTTTAAATCTGAAAATCAGTGGTGGAAAGTACAGGCCAAATATTAAATAAATGATAGTCTTATAAAATATATATCAAAATAGTACCTGATAGAAACAGATTTTAAAATGACGAGGTATTTTTATTTCTTTGTATGAGGAAATTAATATAAATAAACGAGTTATAATTTACTAAATGCATACTTTTAAAACTTGATTTATTTTATTAATCTAAATAGCATCTAATCTTTCTACTCTATTCAATCTGCTAGTTTTTGTAAGAAATTTTTTTTTAATATTAAAATTTAAAAAAACTTTTTTTTTTAAAAAAAACTTATGGGAGAAATATAATAAATTAATGTAAATTGATTTATTAAAAGTTTATAAGAATAGTTTTAAAATGAATTGTTTTCCTAGTTAACTTAAATTTAGAATAAAATTTTCTCGTTTTTCCTTAAAACCTGTTCTTCATTATAGTTAGAACTAGGAAATTTGAATAAATCTAGTGCAAATTTTAGCATTTATCTTTTCTATACATTTATAGTAAGGATTTTATTTTTAAAAAGAAATATTCGACTAGACCAATTGCTATTTATTCCGCTTCAGTGGCCAAACACTGATTAGTTATTCTGTGCATTCCTAGTTTCTCTATCATTCCTTCAACATTTTAAGATAGTATCGGCATTACTTTGTTTTAAGATTAGAGGGATTGAATTTGTGTTATTATACCCTTTTACTAATATTAATAGTTTTTTCAAGTTAAAAGCCCAGAAAATAGATATTTTTTAATCCAAATTTATTAAATCTTCAACTCGTGAATTTCAAAAGTACGAGTTAACAAACAGAAAAAGTACATTTATAACCAGTGGTTTAGTGGCATGAGATCTGGACTTCTCTCATTCTTTTAAAACAGGATGGTATTTTTAAAATCCTTTTTGATGGGAGGTGTTTTTTCAGTAGTTTTTGTTTAATTTTCAACTCATGCAATTATATTATCTTCTCAATTTGTCTATTTAAATTTCATGGCAAATATCAAAAATAGGCTAATACTTTCATGATCCTTGCTTAAGTCGGATAGGAATGCACAGTGCCAGTTTTTGTAGAGATTGGTTGAATTCCTAAAAAAACTGTCAAAATAATATAAGCTCTGTTAAATATTTATTTTCCATTGAAATCACACTTTATAGTAAGATTGGTCCATAATTACTAATAGTCCTCATTTCCGAAAAAACCATATGCTACATTCATTAAAAGGCTTAAATAACTCCAGATAACTGTTCATTTAAAATCTTAACACCGTCTTTTGAAAATGTTTTACAAAATGTTACTAATTGGAAAATAATTGGATAACTAAAAAAAAGGAATTTTAATCAGAAAATTATCACATATATATATTTTTCTGAATTAGGGGTATTTACATTAGGGGGGATGTTCCCTAGGAAGAAGTCATCCCTAGGGAAGAAGTGATATGTGTGTGTATTTTTAGAAATAACTAGTGTAAACAATTATGATCGGATTTTGTTCAGTTAAGATCTTAAAACTTATTTTGAGTTATTAAAATTTTAAAATGCCTAAATTCAAAACTGATAATTTTAAACTGTTTTCAATTTCTTTTTTATGGCTCATTTATAGATCATTAAATATTTTTTATCCATTAATAAATACAACAAAACGAAGACAAAGATAAAATAATATATTTTTAAATTTATCCGGATTAAGGCAAAACATTTTTATTTCATCTGTGAGAAAGTTAAAAAAAAAAAAAAATCNAAAAAAAAAAAAAAACCCCCCCCCCCCAAAAAAAGAAGGGAATTTATATTTGCTATCCTGTTAATAAAAAAATTTGACTGTTTAAGTCAAATTTGTTATACATTTCCTAATTGCGAAAACGATTTTCAATTTTTTAGTTCGTATACGATTTTCTAGTATCTTCCCAAATCAAATGTTATAGTCATAAGTATCTGTATCAACCATGTAAATATATTAATTAGCATTGTTTAAGTGTGATTAAAACATTCCATCCCGATTTTATTCAATTTATTGTTCTTATTTTCCCTAAATAATAATTCCATTGACTAGGAAGTGCGTTTCTTTGCTGCAGTGAGTTTTCCTGTAGAGCTACAAAAAATAACTGTGCAAGTTTAAATTTTTCTCTAATTCCCTCCCCCCCCCTCATGATTAACCTTAATGTGGTGAATCTAAGTGCTTTTCATTTCACGTGACTATTGCTTGACCTTGGTCTTGTATGTGTGTATTGTAAGATAATAGTGGAATTTGATTTTGAATAGCCTATGCAAGAGGAAAAGTTGTTTGCATTTTTGTGGCTTTTCATTGAATGCTAATTTTATATTTTATTGCATCTAGGATTAAATTCTTTCTTGCGGTGAATTTGATTATAATCAACGCAAACTAAAATTATTTAGTAGTGCGTTTTAATTTAAAATATGCTAGGAAAAAAATAAAAAATTAGTAATCTTTTTTCTTTCTTTAATTTGATTTTTGAAAAATAGGGTTTAATTCCTTTTTTCCACTTATTTAATTAGTACTTAATAGCCTGAACTAAAATAGTAACTAAGATTTTCAATGATTAGGTTGTAATAATTAAATGATTTTTGAAACATTTTAGTTAAATATTATCTGCTTAAATCACATAATTGATTTTAAGCATTATTAGTACTGATGATTTGTATGTATCAGATGATTTGGAGGTACATATTAAAAAAAATCTGATATTTAATTACAAAAAAAATCAGATTCTTTGATTTTTTTAAAAATAAAATCATGATTTTTGTCAACCTTATTTGAAAGTTATTTTATTTATTTATATGCAGTAAAGAAAAAAAAATTAACCTCTTGAAAAATTAACCGTTTTCTTACACAGAGGGTAGAATGCAAAATTTTTATTGCTTTTAAATTCGAAAGTATACATATACTTAGGTTTTTTAATTCTGATATAATTTTTTATGCTCTAGAAAATAATTAAGTTATGATCAGTTGCTATGAAAACTCAATTGATTGTGAACCCCCTAAAGAAAGCTAAGCCCTCTTAAAAGAAAGGTTGTTCACCCAGAATCTTTTATTATAAGAAATAAGGGATCATGGTAATGAGAATTCGCACGTCCGAGACTCGTCACATTCCCTTAGGGATCTCTGGTTAATATCCTTCTTGAAAAATAAATACTGTCAAGTTCGGAGGGCATTTCTTGTCAGACAATAACCAGCTACTTCTATTAGAGAATTTTTCAGAAACTGGAGCAGTAGTTCTTTTTCGGTTGCCAACTGAGCTGTAATTAATTATTGTTCAATTCACTCTTATGAATTCTGCTTGAGCAAATGCTAGCCTAATTTTGCAGAAAGCAGTGGACCTTGTTCAAAATTCGGTAGTCAGAGTCGAGTGCTTTATTAAATTTGTTCGGCCTTCACTTTCTCTTGTGTTCGTTTCCGGCAACATCATTACCGATGTAATTTCCTTCTATGAAGTGCTGCTGAACTCGTGATTTGTGGTAAACATTTGAAATATTGTTTTAAAAGATACTGTTTAAAACTGCAATTTATGAAAGGTTGTTGTCCAATGTCCATCAGCCTATTTACAACTAACAAATTAAAATTTGATACTTCATGCCTTTTAAACCCAGCAGCATTTGAAATGAACTCGGGACTTATCATTGAGCCTGTTTAGAAACACAACTAACTCTGTCTTGTGCCTTATTAAAATATTCATTAAATTCTAATAAAAAAAATTAATATTATTGTGTTGTAAAAGTTAATTTTAAATCGTATATTTCGTATGTATGTAGGGTTAGAGTTAAAAGTGTAATTCATTCATTAAAAACTACATTTTAAA